TAGAGCATTCAGGTAACGGAGGTTCGAATAATCAAGACTCTACAATAATAAATGTCTTCACATGTGTACCCATCACGGTTCAGAAAAAGTTTATTTATGGATATTCAGTGTGAATTCACAAATTTCACATTCCAGTTTTAATACATAGAACATTCCAAGTTTTTAAAATGCCACGATTTCAAAGTTTAATCAATAGAAAAGTTTAGCAACGAATGCCTCTGTTTCTTTGAATTGCCAGACTGCTACGTGTCGGTGAAACTTTCAGTTTTTGCTACACATTTTCTCCACCTGTAACTAATATATGTGAACAGTCATTAGAAACATCATTAATCAAGTGTGTGTACACTTTTACTGGCGAAATTGGTGTGCGTATAAATTTACTACCAAGTACGTGCTCTGACTACCAAGTTCATTAACACGATAACATTTCCAGACGTACAGATAATTGCAGGAATGTTTGTTACTTTTCTACGTGGACTCGAAAAACATTCGGGAAAAATTCAACGGAGACGAATGTAGCTAATCGAAGGAAAAAGAAATTAAATTTGCAGGCATTATTACTGTGAAATAAATGGTTTTTCTGCAATGAAAAATTCCATCACCAGAAATTTAAGAGGAAAATAAATTAACCATTTTCTATTCGGAACAATGTTTTAATATAAAGGACTCGAGTTTGGAGAGGATGTCTTTAATTAAGCGCGTCGAGGACGTTCGGGGATTAGAGTCGATGAATTTTACGATGATCCAGGCAGCCATTTTTATGGAAATCGTATGCAAACAACGGTTGCTCCGACGCGCAATCTTGGCGGGAGCGTGATGCAGGAAAGCAGAACGAGGAATTCGTTTGCGAACGCTGACGGTGACGTTCGAAAATTTATAAGAATTCGCACGTTGGTGTAAGGACGGAAAGTGTGGCAGTGCGTTCAACCTGTTGTGAAATTCACTGTGACTCGTGCGCGGGATAGTTTACCGTGAGCGGATACTAGAAACGCGTGTCGTTCTAAACGTTAGAAGTAACTGTGCTACGCCGGCTGCCTCGCTAAGTCGTAGGACACATCTGCCAGATGCTTCTCGCGGAAATTCTCGAGGAATGGATCGTTCGCCTTGTCCTTTGTCACTTTCTCATTTTAAACAAACGTTTAATCGCTGAATCTCGTTTTAACGTTAACAAATACTTCTACTTGACGCCCTTTGCGATCAGAATTTTCTTTCAATTTCGTTTCCAATAACTCAATATTGATTTATTGGTCTTATTTGAAGTGGATCAAGTGTACCAATTATCACCATTTTTTGTTGCTACTGTTTCGCTCACTTGAATTGATCTGTAACGACGATTCATGTCTTCCTTCGAGTATAAGAGCTTCGGTATGGTCTTCACTATCGTTACTGTCTACGCATGATAAATTAAATATTCACCGGGGTTTGTCACTTTCTATTATGATACTGTATTATTTGTTTTAAACAGAAGACCATATGTGATAATGTTTGTCTCTCTTAAGCTACCAAAACTTTCACGAAAGCTTTCTCAACTGATCTACCAATTGGAGTACCTTTTCCTGTCACCGCTTCTTAACACGTTGGTCGCCACGTCACCCAGAAATGAGTGACAGGACTTTTCGTTAAGGACCCAAACAGATAATTCTAAAAGTGAGGCGATAATGGAGAGGTTAAACAATGAAATACAACGACAAGTGTGAAATTATGTAATCTTCAACAGTCTCGAGACAAAATTTTAACTTCGTGAAAATTTTTACGAATTGTAGTCTGGCAGTCAACGTGTTAAAACATTTTTTAAGAAGACGTGGGATATTAAAATTCAAGAAAACTAATTCAGTATCATTCCGTCTACATTTTCTCTGAACATCTATTTCGGTAGATAGCCTCTTCGTTAAAACATAAGAAGAAGGAAACTCTGGAAGAATCTTCACGGATTCCGTGGACACGTCTCGGGCTTGGCGGGAGGGCACAGCTGATCGCTGGGCCTCGTGTCGTAGGGAGCCGTGGCAAACGAAGCCAGGCTGCTATAGGCCGCGATACGGTTTGTTATTGCGAGCGGAGTGAGTGATTCGACGGGGCAGCCGAGTCTAATGCCGCTGGCGGGCGAAATCGTGGTCGCCGCTTGGGCTCCCTCGATACTCCACGTCGGGCTTCCTCGGTAGCAGCATCGTTCCCTGCAACCGCGACACCAGCGTCCGAGCAGCGATCTCAAGATTCCGTTCGGTCTCGAATCGTGCGCCCCTAAATACGACGCGAGCAGTTCGGATTCCGCGACTTCCAAAGCGGTCAAATCGTCACGTGACCGCGAACCGATCGTTTCGTACTCCGTTTTCGTTCAGTGTTTCCTCGTCCTCCCAACCGAGACGTCTGGCTCCTGTCGCATTTGGATTTTCATCGTTGTGCTCCTATCGCATCTTGGATTTTGCTTTTTGTGCTCTCACCGTGTCTCGTGGACCGATCGTTTTGTTCGGGTTGTTTGATGTTCGACGATGAAACTGAGATTGTGAAAACTTTTGGGTGGACGATCCGAGGTTGAACCATGATTTATCACAAGCCAACCGTACCGCGGTTTCGCATCGCGGAGCGTGTCAGCGTGGCCCCAAACAATCGGCCGATTTATACCAAACAGAGCAGCCACAGTAGCACGTGCAGCTTGAAGAGCGCTGGGTCTACGCCGCCTTGCGTCAATCGGTACACGAGATATTATTTTTTCACGTTTGTAGATCGCTGATCGGTATAATAACGAGGGCAGGGTAAGAGAATGATCAAGAATCGGTAGATATTGTTTAACATGGGAGGGCAGATTCAGTCGAAACGATTTATTTATTTGATTCATACGTTTCGAACATTAGTGCTGGCCTTCTTCAGGACCAATGCATTATTAAATAGAGTAAAAATATATAAATTTCGTTCAATTTGATATAATTAAGTATACTTTGTAAAGCATAACAATTGAGTGTCATTATTAAAGTAGCTTGAATTATTATAAAAAATTGAATACAAGTTGCAACGAGGTTGATCATAATTCATTTACTGAAACAGACTTGTAACCACTACCCGTCATCCTTATTTAATTTCATCTGCTGCTTCAAAGAGTACATTTCGAAGAATCTTATCTTGAACAAACGAAGCATGTACAATAAATCATAGTCACTATTACGTACGTGTGCATTACCTGGTACACTACCTCTAATTCATACTCTATCAGTATCATTAGTCATTCGTTAACCTGGCATCTAATCTTGAACCTGAGAATACACTCTATAAATTAATATAAAAAGGAACATTAGTATCATAGAGGAAAAAGAGAGCCAAGATAGAAATTTCGCCTCGTTGTCTTATTACGTTTCTTGATCTTTTGTCGATAGTGTCCAAAACTTCCCTTTTCTCTACTTTATTCAGAATTTTTGCATACGAATAGACAATTCTGTCGGGACACAGTGTCGCCAATTTAGCGTCGTTCATTTAAAACACAACGCTGAATTATGAACAGTTTCCGCTTTCAGTTCCTGTCAGGCAACTGACACGCGTGCTGATTTCAGAGCGATGTCCAGCCGCGAAAATGACTCTAACGATACGTCGTTAGAAGCATTAACGTAAAGTTCCCATTCAAATAAATTTAACCCTGTGCGAGGATTTTAATTGACCGTCTGGAACAGTACCGTGCATCGAGACTAAACATTCATTCTTTTAACCGTAAATTAATTTTTGTTCGACTTCTAAGAATCATTTAAGACCTCCAAAGGTTCATTTCCCAATAAACCTTGAAATTTTGATCAATTGGCTCTGATTCCTTAACAAACAAAAATATGTATACTTAGTGAGCTATGATGAGAACACATTAGTCCAAGAATGGCACAATACAACTGGTTCGCTTAACACTCAAACTACTAATGTTTGCTCTTGACTCCAATTGTGATACAGCGATAGAGAGTAGTATACGATGTCGTGACAATGCGAGATTTTATATAACGGAACACGGAGGCTTGGAAATCGAGCGTTGATTCTATAGAAACCGTTCGACACCGACTCGGAAAATGTTAGTAAATCGCGCGAGGTTTGTTCGCACGTCTGTCGAACGAAAAAAAGAAATGAAAAAAAAAACGGAACGTGTATTGAATTCCGCAGCGTTGTTCTGTAAACACGTTATATTGCCTTAGCCGTAAACATTTCCAGAGAATTGGCAAGTCTCTTGCGAAATTTTGTTCATTCGCAATTCTAACGCGTCGTCGGAGAAATGAAAAATTTGATGTAACGCTTTCCTTTACGACTTTCTAATATCGAAGGAATATTTGTGAAACGCAGAAAATCGCGAACTCACGAAATTGCTTAGTTCGGAATATTGCCTCAGGTTTACGTAGAAATTTCTTTCGCGAATTTGTGTCGCAACGTTGCGAGTCCAGTGCAAAATTTATGCAATAATCTCCTTTGCAGGTTTCTGGTTCGAGAAAAAGTTAGTCTTTGCTAGCAACCAAATTTGGAAATGCCTCGAGACTACGGGACGATGTACACTTGTCGTTGTAGTATCGTTTAAATCGATAGATAAACTGCTCCAAAAAAATAAATGTGTTTATGTATAAGTAACGTTAAACTGTGAGTGCCTGTTATGGATGGAAACAATGATTCGCGTCCATTATGTGCCTATAAAGGATGCGGGGAAATCTTGTTTCCATAAATCACGTCTTGCTTGAATAATGACTAGGTCTCGAGCGACCTTTCTAACCCCATCGCTTCTGCCGGATGATATTCCGATGGAAATCTTGTTCACGACCCTCTAAACGTTTGCCAACGTGAAAATGACGACGAGCTTTGCTGCCACATGGCTGTTTCAAAATCGATGCGAAAATTTAAAGCAAACTCATCAATTTATCCTTGACACAGGTTTTAGAGAATAGTTATCTAATTACGCGGAATCGCCGATGCTTTGAACGGATACGCAGTCGCAATTCAGGAATTTGCGTATTATTCGGTAACTGATAGTTTGCTTTCTATTATGATTGCAGCATGAAGCAACCTTTGGGAAGTAAAGGACCCTCGCCTGTTCACATGGGCACACCTGTTCGGTCTGGGATCCAGTCACCGAAACCTACTGTCAATGGATCCGATTCAATGGTGTAAGTATCTCGATCACCAATCTAACATTCTCGAACTATAGTTAAACAATCTAAATCTTAATATGAGTTGACTCAGAAATTATAACGAATAGATACTACGCCAAGAAAAATGTTTAGAATTTCCAGAGCGATCAAGAACCCAATTTTTGTTTAGTAATAGTCTGATAAGGTCCAGGAATTGTGTTTTAGGGAGTTCAGAAAATTGAAAATGTATTTTAAAATCCATCATACCTAAGATAAGGTATACTGATTGGAGCAGAGATTCGAACATTCGATACTGCTCGAATTGAGATACCTGTGTGCCCACGCACCTTTCAAGTCGATATCGCAATCTGCTAAATATTGACGTTGACGAGGAACATCGTGTATTTTATTACGTATAATCTTTCCAGGAGACAGAACTCGACGTTGGGCACTGCCTACGATTCTAGAACGCAAGAGAGTCATTACGATGTCGTCAAGCCGATGAAGGTAAGTCAATAAAATGAGATTATGATTATTGCACTCGATACAACCATATTAAATAACACATCATTCGTTGTATTCAACGCCGTTTACGTTGCTGTTTTTGTGGATACTGATAGCGGTAGAATCATATAATGATTAACGTGTGAACAACGTTGATACGTCGTTTCGTGAAACTTAATCATAGATAGATACATGTGCAATCCAAGGAAACCTGCACACCTTAATTATACTCGTTTATTATTGATTTTACGCGTCAAGTCCATTGGATTGCTATTTCAATGTCTCAGAGAATATCTCATTTGTCACAATCTTCATTTATTAAGTGGTAAAATATGCTTTCTCGCAGGATAATCTCCGCAAGCAGTGACATGCTGAATGTAAAAAGACACCAAACATTCACGTAGATCCATTTTCAATAATTTCATAAAAGCTGCATAACATGAAACTGCAGATAAATTGAGGATACATAATTTCGATTGACTTAAAAACTAATCAGGAAGTGAATCGGCCAATATATGCAACATCTTCCAAGTCACCTTAATATTATATCACTGATAGATCCACGTTTGCGTCCCACATTTGCAAAGTGAAAAATAACCGTGACGTTCCAGCTTCGCTCATTGTTGGATTTACAAATTGAATTCACAAATGTCTACAAGTTGTTCGCGATTCTTAAAGACAAACTCGACAATGAATCGCATGAAATAGCAAATGCATTAAAGAGTTCGCTGGAAATCGTAGGACCGCAGAAAGTGGTTGCAAATAGCGTTTTGATCATCGAATTAATGTGCAACTTTCTACCCACCTTTCCTTATTTCCGTGGAGACTAGTATAAATTTATGACCCGTTTATGGTTAAACTTGCTATGCATCGATGAAACTGGCTTGTCGACAATTTTCGCGAATCGTTGTAAATATTGCACTCAACGATACCTCCCTTCTTCCCTATTTGGAACTAACCTGTAATTTCAATATACTTTTTCAAAAGTTTAATCGTGGTTTAGTAAAAACCTATAACTTTCCTTTAGTGGACAAGCAACTTTTTCACACGATTTGCGCAAATGTCAGGACAGTTAAAGAGACTGTCCCTCGTCGCAAATCAGTCGATCCGACGGTGAAAGTATAAAAGGTCTACAGTGAAATTTGGAAAATTATCCACGAGTTACAGGAAAAACCGTTTCAATGTATACGTGGAGTTTAGTGGCTTTCGGGTTTACCACTGATTTCCTCCTCTGGGTTAAATTTAGAAATCGTTTCAATGTCTTCACTGGTTCCGTTCAGATTTTCTAATATGTGGTTTCTTTTTTTTTTTTTTTTTAACACGTATCAGATTGAAAATAATTAATTTAAATTCGTCTGAAGAAGCTCGTTGTGCATTGCTTTGGTATACGTGACACAGAAAGCTTAATATCACTCAAACTGAATTCAAGTTTTTCCTGATTCTTTGCAAAGCAGACAGCTACCAAATTTTGCAAAATATTGGTACGATCGATAAAGTCAGAAACGAAGGGAAAGCATTCGTCGCCATTTGGCTCGACGTCGTCTGGAATTCCAGCAATTGCCGATTGGTTAATCGTCGAATTGCCAATTAAACGTTCTAATTGACGCGATTAGCAATTGATCGCATAACTCTTCCCTTCTCTGCTCTTGTCTTCGCTCGACTATGTCGAATCCTTTTCCGGAAAGTCCACCGAGTGATGCAACCAGCCGCGAGACACATTAAACGCGCGTAAAGCTTGCTTGGATATTTATCGCGCGACGTAATGTTTCCGTTGCGGAAGATCTGCTCGGATAACGCGTTTGTTCAGCCCGCGTCCAATGATTTTTACGTTCGAACGACGACGAAAAACGCTGGAAAGGAAAACACTGATAAAATTTTAGCGAAGCAATTACCATAACTGACGTCGACGTGTTGTCAAGCAATGAAACTTTGTGCAATCATTGTAATAATTATTCGACTGTTGAATCTATTCCCGTCGAAACGTCCGGTTGCGTCACCGTTTGATCAACAAAGAGGCCTTCCTTTCGTGTCGAATACATCAGATATAATTCGCTTTACATCAACTCTCCAAATTCGAAATCGACGTCTGCTAAAGGGATAGGGGTTCGATATTACTATTACTTACTGAAAAAACTCAAACTTTCTAAAGATCTTTCTTCAGGCCATCCAAGATGGGCTACGAAATCAACACCTTGCTCTTGAGCTTGGAAAGTAATCAAAGTGTTTTCGACTTGGAAAAGTTTTTGAATGAAAAATCGAAGGAGTTTTTTAAACAGAGAATCGAACAATTAGTGTCTTTACTCTGGCAAAAAGTATTAGAAAATGATGGAAATTATTTTGTTGATTAGTATTTAAGATTTCTTTAATAAATAAGCCCACGAAATAATTTCTCGATAAAAAAAATAAACTAAAACTAAAATAAACTAGATTACTTACAATAGAATTTCAGTGCCTGAAAACTCAAATTTTCTAAGTGTCCACTCTTCACCTCTTCCTCGATTAGCTCCACGATCTTTATCCCTAGTAATTTGAACTGCATCTTATGCAAAGTTGATCGAATCGAATACTCATCAGCTGGAACATACCTTGTCATTCGCAGAGGCAGCTCCACGAGGCATTAGTCATTCTGGTTGTAGAATCGCCATCCGCGTTGCCAATGCGATCGGATTATGCAACGCAATGATTTCGTGGAACTGCATCGCGATCGACCAGGTGTCCACGGTCCATTCTGACGCGCATGTATGCGACTTCGATCCGATTCCCATGGCCCAGGTACGTGATCGTCGCGATCGCCAACAGCTGCTGGTAGTAGTATCTGTCTTAGGACGTGCTAATGAGTCAATGGGTCACGGCCTGTTTTGTCCCTTTCCAGTTTCGCCAACTAGTTCAATCGATCCGCGCAAGATTTGCTTTTCAGCGCAGAGGTGTTGCGACACGAGCGTATCTGCGTACTACGGCCAGGATAAATCGGGTTTCGTAGGTGTTATATATGCATTGGTGGCACAGGTTTCCGTCAAAGCAGTATCTTTTTCCTCCGTTCTCGTGCTCGACGAACGTTACAAAGTATGGCCTATAAATTTTCGGTATTACAGAAAACACGTGCTTTGGATCGTATAGATAGTCAATTATTTTCCAGTTGAAGCTAGAAATATTAAAATAGAAAAATGAATGAAATATTGAATTTACTTCGTGGAATTTTAATCATATTTCATTGAAAGAGTTGAGAAAAGTCTCAAGGTTTAGGAATAATTGAAAATCTTTTCTTATTCTCATCTTCGTAATCTGCTACCAAGTATTTCTTTGTTGGTATTGCGAATGGAACGTTCCAAACGCGCCGTGGTGGTAAACTCCAGACAAGGTCCGAGCACCTACACACGAAATTCTAACGCTTGGATCACGTTGCGCGATGACGCAGTTGATAGATGCAAATCGATGCATGCTCGCGCATTTGCCTCGCACAATTAGAAGACGCATCATGCCGCAAACGAAAATGGTCGTTCCGCGTGGGCGAGCATGGTTTCGCGAGATTTTTTTGTCACGCTGCGTACTTAGCGATGATTCTGCGACAAATCTCATTTTTCAATATTAATTCCCGTCCTATGATGACGTAACCGAGGAAATTAGCATGCTTATCGAACGTACCACCTCGTTTTATAGTCATGGTACATCTTATTTGGTTTAGGATGAATTGTTTTTTTTGAAAAATTCGCGAGCCTCTAAATAATTTCACGATGTACAGGAGAAATTACGTTTATAACATTTACACTTGTAGGTATTACTCATATATTATTAATCTTTTCTTTTCAGTAGATGATTAAATCATTTTTGTGCTCCATTGTATGTATTAATTTTTTCTCTGTTGCCAGTGAATGTTAAATATTGTTTGGAAGACTTTTCGTGTCATTCAAAAATACGATCAATGAAATTCGATTGTTCTAATTAATTATTGAGAAAGGAACATTTTCCGTGCCGATAATTGCAACAATTGTCACGGTATATTCCACTGGAAACTCGACACCTGCGAGCGTGTCGCTTTTCCGAAAGGGTACACCTTTTCCTACTAGAACTAAAAGCGCGATACACCTTCGATCGTCAAGGTGAACTGGAATCGGCATGTGGGTGTCGAAGATACGCCTAGTAACATAATAATGACACGTGCGCATTACACGCTGTGACGTGACGATTATGTTAATGACAATTAACCATAGATTAGACCCGCACAAATTTAATTAAAATATATCTCTATACTTCCAAACTTCTTTCCTACAACAAATTTCTTGTCATACTCTAATCCTCAAACTGTATTGAAATTCAATTAATGATTTCGTACTGTACAACCATGACTTTTATTTTATATATAATTTGATTACACGATTGGAAGTAAACAAATTGACAGAGCAGTTGACAGGGTTTTTTTAAAATTTATTCATTGCATTGTCTGGGTATTGTAAGTACGCCTCGAGTGCGTATAGAACGCGGAATAGATCGTAGCTCCATCTCGTTGCCCTCGTGAAAGTCAGAACACACAGTGAATACCAGTACACTGTTACCGCTTTTTGTTGGTGATGCAGGGATTAATTAAAAGCATCGGTATACGAGATCGCAATCGGATTTTACCGACATAGTGCTCCCGTGTCTTGGTGAATGGGAAGCGCATAAAGAACTCTGCCTGCCATACTCTTCTGATTACATAAATCTTTCATATCGCTCCTGCCTCTAAATTTTCATATGCAAACATTATTGTTTACGTCAGAATGTATATTCCCTCAAGCCAAAAACCTCGAACAGTGTAATTATTGCTTTAACAGCATGATTAACTTTAACATAAATATTTAACTCCTATCGATTTTCCATTCGCGTGTTACCCAACGTGTATTCTATTACTTTTTTATTTCATTGGTCGAAGTTCGTTCTGAAAGGATAGTTGTTGAATACATAATTGTCGACCACGTAGTAGAATATTGTGATAAGCGCGTAGCTCGTTGTCTTAAATATTTTCTTGT